ATTCTAGTAGACCTCAACAATGGAATTATGATCAGTAGAAATGGCCATGACATGGGACCTTTAAGTAAAATGTGTTTTGTGGAAACACAACCAGGCTGGAGGTCCAGTGCAGGTGTAGAAGGGCCATAAATACCTTGATGATGCTCTGGCAGGTGGACAGTGGCAGTCCCACCAGACTGGTCCCATTGAGGGACATGATCTGGTCTCCTATGTTCAGTTTGCCAGACCTTTCAGCCGGCCCAGCATGCATCATGTTGGCGATGATAACGGTGGGCAGGATGGAGCCCCACCCACTCTCCACAATGACCACACCCAGAATCTCCCCCTTTGCTTTCTCTACGAACACCTGAGGAAACATATCCGCAAAACCATTTGAAGTTAGAGTGAAATAAATGATGAGTATTCACCGCAAAACATTTGCCCACATCATAATGCAGCAATATCAAATTGTTTAGTGTAAGAGGTTACTTTATTCAGGATTAGGGAGTAATAAATTACATTATGTAATCAGATTACAAAAAAGGTACCTGTATTCCCTCAAAATTACGTAAAAAATATGTAATCAGATTACTGTTACATTTCTAATAATTAGGGATTACTAGAGCAGGATTACAATGTTACCAACACCTAAAAAGAGCATAGTGTTTGTTGTAAAGGATCAGATGTTCTCTCTTCTCTGTAAACTCTACTGTTCTGTAGGCTAATACTTTAAGTGTGAATCTATACGCCTACTGCCTGAATCTGCTTTATGGTTTTTACTTTCTTTGTTTCATTTGTTCTGTTTTTAATTCAGCAGGTGAACCTATATGTTCATAGAATAGTGTGTGTGAGCTTAACTGTGTGTATTAAACTAAAACGGAGCATTTTCTGTCAGCTCAGATTTTATTTCTGCTTTTTTAAACTGTAGTATGTGCTCACGTGTTTCAGTGTTGGTGTTTAGGCTGCTGCCTGAATATGCTGAGTGACAGGCAGCTTTTCCTGTAAATAAAGGTAAAGAGGTAAGAATTAATTTCTCTTGTACTTATTTGCATTGCATTTGATATGCAGGTATCCAAAAGTAACAGAAAGTAATTAGGTGACATTTATTTATTTATATACTTTGCTCTCAAAACCTCTTATGGTGAGAGGCTGTAAAACAGGCAGATATGACTCCTCATCAATAAGGTTATTGATAGACTGAATTCCTGATGAGTTAAGACTTGGGAAGAACTCTCTCTTTATCTCTCGTCGTGTCTGTTCTGTGGCTGGATTGCTACACTTGGGAAATAGATTTTGTCCGTTTTATTAACAACCACGAAAAGTAAGAACTCCAACTATCGATGTCCTCTGTTGCACTCAAGCCTGTTTGTGATTATGTTCCAGAACACATTCAGTGTTATAGTAGACCGATCTGGGCACTATGAACCAGCGGCATTGGTAAAGGAAGTGATGTAAGACTGATGAGGCAGCAGTTCAAGTGTTTGCTTGATACACAGCCCTACTCACGTCTTTGCAGTTCTCAGACTTAGAGAAGTGGATGAGGTCATCATTGTACATGTCCTGAGTGTTGAGCAGATCGCTGAACTCCTTCTGGCTCAGGTCCTCCGGGTTAATACCATTTGCCCGTAAGAATTCCTGGTAAGCCACACTGAAGGCCTGCCCAATGGACTGGGCGATCAGCTGGGCCTAGAGGGGAAGAGGATTGTGGGTGAGACGGTTTTACATCATGTATACAATCTGTTATGGTCAACTCAACTTATACAAGCAAATACATGAGAGTACTCTGCTGCTGGACTCACATCCTCGGACTCAAACACATGGCATATCATCTTGTACTGCCGCTTGCTCTCTTGCCCTGGATCTGAGGCCTCCACGTTCTCCTGAGAGTCGGGTCGAGGCATCCTGCGCCGGGCCATCAGAACCACGATGTTACCAATGTCAGCAATGTAGGAGATGGTCCTCAAAGGGTGGTCCATCATGGTCTCCTGGAAGTTAGAAAGCCAGAACAGTCTCAGTGAAACCACTCAAGGACATGGTGTCATGTCTCGCAAATTATGTTAGTTAGTTTTTGTCTTTGTCTAGTGATTTTCCCCTTTATTTTTGAATAGTAACCTTCCCTCTCGTTTCAGATACTCTGACCTCCCTTCCTTGTGTGTCTCTCCCACTCCTGTGATTGTCGACCCCGCCCCTGATTGTTTCCACCTGTTCCCCATTACCTGATGTATTTATTGTCCTCGTCTCCCTTTGTCCTGGTGCCAGTTCGTTTCGTTCCTTGTGACTACCACCAGCATTAGCAATCCAGGATTAACCCCAAGCAGAGCTTTGAGCCACGTCTTGTTTAAGTATTTTTGTTGTTCATGCTCCTAGTGTTTTTCCTCTTTAAGAGTGATTTTGTTTTTGTACCACTATCGTTGAGCTTTGGTTTGAATAAAACCTTTTTTTTTGTTAAATTCTGTGAGTTGTGCATTTGAGTTCATACCCGTTTAATCAGTCGTAACAACTTCTTCCTTCTCTCTGTCTATACCTGTGTACTCTCATGTTCCGATTAACCCAGCTTCCCCAAATTTCTTTCTTTTTGGTGTCTATATACGCCGGGATCCGGAGTCATGGATGATCCTGCGGTCCTGTGTCATGGATTGCGAGTCCTGGATCTTGAGCCGTGGCTGTGGTCCTGGATCATAAGTCCTGGATGGATATACTCGTGGATTCATCTTCCTATTATACACACATGCATTTCCAAACATTTGGACTACCTATGTTGCAAATGTATTATCTTTTCAATTTACACACGGCATCTATTGCACGTCTGTCCG